TTTTTATTTTCGCAAAAGAATACACCGAAACTTAAGAGAGAAGCAATGCATTGCACATACTAAAAGGTTTCTGTTGGTAGCAAGACAAATCCAAAGGTGAGACCTTTTTGTTTTTGTTACCCATTTCCACATGACTTCTCATTTATATTTTTGCCTCCAAAAATCACMTTGATATCTGTGTTATCCATGTGCTGCCTGCAACTCCGTGTAAAACTTTTTCCATATTTTATGTTTAATTTGTGTCTTAAACCCTACATGTGACTAGCTCTCTAATAACTCCGTGGCCTCGTCAACCTCTTCCACACATAACACATATATATAAGTAAAAGACGACATCTTMACGAACTTAAAATCATTTGAGGAAATTTGAGTTCAAAACAAATAATGTTATACTGTACTATTCTAAAAATATAGAAAGACTTGAAACTTGATGAAAACAATAAGACTGGAGAGGACTCTCTCAGTAATATCTCCCGTGGATGTTGCTTGATGAAAGCCACTCCAAAATCAGCCCTCGCACCAAAAATACAGCTGTTTTCTTTGTCCTCAATCTACAAAATTTTAATACCAATTTGAGATGCTTCTTGTAAATTGCATCCACATGACAACAAAGTTCTTAGCTATAATAAATGCCTCTCATTCCTCAAATTCATCTCATAGTGTGTTTCAATATTTCCCAGCTTCCCTTTTCTCATTCACTTTTAACACCTTCTTTAGCAAAACAACTCGAAAAACACTAACGACCGATGAAGAAGCTTTTCTTTTCGACGCTCTTGCTTTGCTTCCTGCTCTTCACTTCTTCCTTCATAAACATTGTCATCGCCAAGTCTGGTAAGGTCGTGTCCAATATCGAATGTGTCCCTCTTCTTTTTCATCCRCTTAATAATTAATGATGTTTTTTAATTGGTTTGGATCTAACCTCAACCCTTTTTTTTTTCTTTGGTTTGTTTGTTTTTGGTTGTGAAGTGTTTTGTGACAAACAGTGCAAGAAGAGATGCTCAAAAGCAGGAGTGATGGACAGATGCATAAAGTATTGTGGAATTTGCTGTGGCTATTGCAAGTGTGTTCCTTCTGGGACTTATGGGAACAAGCATGAGTGCCCTTGCTATAGGGACATGAGGAGTTCTAAGGGTAAGCCCAAGTGCCCTTGAGATGAAGATGCTTCTTAAAGCTATGTCTTCAACTAAAGGAAAATGCATACATTTGATCCCATTTGGATTCTTAGATTTCTCGTGTTTGATAAGGAAGGATGGCTGGTACGAGCTAAGTTTATAAGTTTGTCTGGGTTGATTTAGGATTATTTAACTTATCTTCTGGTGAGAGTTGAGTTGATCCATAGATTCTTCTCAAACCATATAATTCAAATTCAAATGAATCAAATATGAGTTTATCAATAAAAATATCGATATTGTTTTCCAAATATAATTTTATAAAATATATATATATATATAGAAGTAATTAGTTTTTTATATTATTACATCTCATGGAAAAATCAAGGCCCAAACTTGGAAAAACAATGATATCCAAAGAAAGAAAAACAAAAATTGAAATTTGCAAGACAACAATAGAAATTCACGTGCATGTTCTTTACAACTCATTTCCAAATAATCACTGAATTAACTGATCCTATAAAACATTGCAGAAACATAAAACATACATAAATATAAAWTGAGAAAAGGAGAAGAGGGTAATTTCCGTAGCTCCATGAGCTATTGGAATTTCTTTCCAGACTTGTTTTGATGTGATAGTTGACGGATTTTATAGAACACTTTTCTCCCATACGGGTGGTTGGAGAGAAGTAGAGATTGATCGGTGATGCGCTTTACCAGAGTATGATACAGTTTCATAATTCCCTGAAATAAAAAATAACACAGAAACAAATGTTAAAAGAATTATACGATTTGAAAACATAGGAGACTTTATAAATATTATAATATAAATAAGTTACTTCTCTCATTGCTAGTTCAAACGAACATCCAATCTAAAAATGAGATTCGGACAAGATCAATAAATCAAAAGAATCATGATCTTGATGAGTCATTTTAGGATCCCACGTTAAAAAGATAAGAAATGTTTATAATATAAGTTGACTATTCCTCACATTGTCAATTGATGTTGAGATAGAATCGCATGAATATTAATACAAAATAATTATACGTTTTTAACGTCGGGACACCCGTAAATCTAGTCACACATTTTTTAAAATAAAAATAGAAACTTCAACTAATATCTTCAACTATCAACTATCTTTGATAGTGTTTGCTTTTGACAGTGCAGTTTTGGTTTCACTCGAAAAGTTTTGTAAAGTTATGATCTTCCCTCCAACCAACGTGAGATTTTGGTTGCATTCTCAACGGAACGGAAGGTTTTATAAAGCTTAATATTGAGATTTGACTCACCCACCTGAATTTAGGGGTATGAGTTGAACCTTTTCCTACTTTAAGGAGTTAAAAACATTTTTCACCCAACTAAAAACCATCCAAAACTCACCACAATTAAGCTACTTGTGTGTGATATGAATCTATGATGATGAGGAGGAGGCAATTCAAGAAACAGAGAGAAGTTAATATATATATATATATAATCAAAATCACTTACCCGCCGGTGGAGCTGTTCAAGAGCAGTTTGAATAACAAAGTTGCCAAAAGCATCTTGAACAACATTGGGAACAACTGTTGGGTTCATCAACAGTTCCTCAACAATCTTCTCAACTTCAGAATCTTCACACAACCTCAAGCACTTCTCCACCACATTGCTACCGCCCATACTCTTCGAAAGATCTTTGAATCTCCCCTGCAGCCGCTCCGCAATGCCTCGTTTTACACAAGCAATGCCCGACGAAATTGCACACTGAACCACATAGTTCCTACACAAAAAACCACCACACATATATAAATAAAGAGTTTGTTTAATTTGGTTTGGTGTTTTTTGGGTGGAAGAACAACAGACCCGTGTAAGTTTTCTGATAAATAGGGTGAGTTTAATACGATGCTGTGGAGTAAATATGGTACAAGCTTGGCTTCTATATAGGCTGTGCAGATACAATCCTGTAGAACATAACAACCCACTCGATCGGTGCCGATTGCTACACAATTACTTGCCATTGCGTTGAAAAGAAGCTGCAGTGTAAAACCATAAGCAGAATAACAGTTTTTACATGATCATGTGCTCTTGAGTCTTTGTGTCTAGAAACTCACATGAATTCAGAACAAATCAGAAAATATTGCGCTCACTCTTATCTACTTTTACACTTAAATTAGTCATCATTCTTAAATCACCAATCAACCGACTAATAGATAATAGGTGAAGATCTACTGATACCATGTTAAATCATCTGTCAACCCAAAAGATTAAACAAATGAGTTATAGTAAATTTAATCATCCATCATCCATGTAGCATGATAGAAGATTAAACAAATGAGTTACAGTAAATTTAATTATCCATCATCCATGTAGCATGATAGAAAAACTTCGATGGACTCCCCATTTTAGAACAGGATAGAAACATGCTTAACACAATCTTAATCAGAATGTCACATTACAATTATGATAAATGAGAAATCAAACTGAAATACCTTAATTATACTTAGTCGAGGACATATAAGATAAGATATTTACCTGTCTGGAGAAATTAGTAGAGGCTTTAATGAAGAATTCCAACACTTGTTTAGCATTAATAGAGTTGGTTAAACTGCAAATGTGATCTCTCATAATGTACAAGATAATGTTCATTTGCTCATCGTCAGTTTTTACATTCTCAATTAGTGCTTTGGCCGACTCTTTCCTGTGAAATCAAATCAACCCAAAAAAAAAAAAAAAATTGTAGATTTAATTAAAAATAAAATAACACAAATAAAAAAGAGTGAGATTAAACAGAAGTTGTTGTGTTCATACCCGTAGTAATCGCTACACATTGTAATGAAGAGCGATTCATTTACGAGCACTACCGAGTGCAGAATTTTGCTGAGTTGCTGTTTATCGCATGATTTGAACAGAGTCTGAGCAAATGCAGAGCCATTCTGGTGCATCATTAGGATTGGAAGATCGGGCGTCACTTTCGTAATAATCCAGTCTTTTGTTTCCGAATTCCCCTCCTTTTCCAGAGTTTTCTGAAGATGATTGCATCCCCAAACACTCAACGCAGATCTCGAGACCAAATCAAGGCCCTGAATTAGGTGTCGTTGAAATCCTGTACTCGATCTCGTACTTGGCTGTCGATGTCGCAGGTCAGGTGAAGCCGGAGGAGGAAACAGTGATTTGGGCAAAAAATTGTTGCCGTTGGAATAGGAGGCGCCGCCGTTGATTGATAGCTGTGGATTGGCTCCGATGACGATGTTGTTTAAATTTGTATCAATTGTACTCACACTCGCCAATTGATTAGGTAAAACTGGAGGATACGCCGATTCAGGCAAGAAATTGTTCCCGATCGCTAAGCCATTATCGAATCCGTTCGATAAAGCACCGCCATTGATTGATAGTCTATTGAGGACAATCGCCATATTTTGTAGCAGAGTTTCGGAATCGAGGTTCTGGTACGTCGACGATTGATACATTGCTCTCGCCAGTTGTTGATAGCCGACGCCGCCATTGAAATTGTTACCGATCGAGCCGTTCTGCTGATTGTTCAAGAAAGAGGTTAAATCAACGGAATTATTGTTGGAGTTCTGAAGATTGTTGTTCAAGAACGAGTTGAAATCAACAGAATTGTTGGAGTTCTGATGATTGTTGTTCAAGAACGCGTTGAAATCAACAGAATTGTTGAAGCTGTGATGATTGCTGTTCAAGAACGTGATCAAATCATCAGAATTATTGTTGGAGCTCTGCAGATTGTTCTCTTGTCTTTCCATCTTTGAAGCAGGGCAGTCGTAATCGGCGACGAGAACGAGTGTTTGAATTGGTAACTAAAATTCCTCCATCTTCAGGGGATTAAATACCTTTCCAGTTGAAATTCGTTTGATGAAGAGTTTCCCGCCATTCTAAAATCCAATTGGGTATTAGATTGAATTTCACTGCAAAATTAGCGATTTTTTTTTAAGTTAAATTACCTCATAGTCTCTAAAATAATTTGAATCCCTTTGCAAAATAGTAATAATAACCTGAATGCTTGAATTTCCTAATATTTTTGCCATTATCTTTTATTTTTTCTATTTATCTTTTGTTTAAATTTTATTTTTGAATGTTATGATCATTCGCTTTGTGTATAGGGTTGATCCTACCAAAAAAAATTAAAGAAAGAGAGAAAAAAAAAACTCCTTAATTTTGCCTTGTTTTAAAAATATATGTATTGTTTCAAAAGTTTCAACACTACCGTCGACCTCTCAAAATTTTGAAGAAATATTCGTTAATATCTTGAACGACGAAAAAAGTTGACATAACGTGATAGAATCTATAACAACGTCACAATTAATCTACAAATTTACTTGAATTAAGTCTAGATAAAATGTGAAAGAAGCATCATTTTTAAAAGAGAGATCAGGGTAAAATTAAGTAGCTAATAAAAAACCAAACTCTTTTGACGATGGAAGAATTATACTTTTAGGGCAAAATCTAGACATTAATTGCCACATTGTTTTAGATTTTGACTCAATCAACTTTTCGTTCAAAATATTGACAAATTTTTGTATCTTTTTTAAAGGTTTATGAGATCAGGTCAACAGTAGTGTGGAATGGATAATGGATAGAAGTATTTTTGAAACAAATTCCAAATTTTAGGAATATTTTTTAGTTGATATTGTTTAAATTTCAAAATTGTAATTTTTCGATAAAAAGAAAAAAATAATAAAATTGCTCGATGCTTTTGTTTCAAATTCCTAATTTCCCTCAGATTTTGCTTCCAATCATTTGTCTCGTAAGTCGTACGGCAGTTTGGGTATATTTGATTTGAAAAACAAAAACCCCTTTCGTAGATAAACATTTTAAAATTATATTCTTTTCTTTTTAATTTTAAAAACGGTTTAGATAAATATATTTTCTTCCTGCCTTTTCATTTACTACTTTTTATATTAATTTAAAATACAACACACTAATTTAAATTGTTAGACAAGTATCTTAATTTTTATCTCCTATTAGATTTTCTTTTAAAAAAGATATATTATCTCTCGCATTAAATGGATTACCAATAGAGATCTCGTATGGAAACGATGAAATTTTAGAAAAAGTAATATACTAGGATTGAATTTTTGGATATTTATTCAATAATAAATAATATGCATGATTCATTAGAGATCCTTGTGTATTTATTTGTTATAGCTTGATTTTAATTAAATATAGTGATTTTTAGGAGATAATTATATAGTAAACTATAATTATTAATAATTTGATAAAATTGACTCGCTTGCCCATGCCAAAAGTAAAAATTGACTTTTTTTAAAACTGTTTTTGAAAGGAAAAAAAAAAGAAAAAGAAAAAAAAGAGTTATCAATAATGCACACAATGTGGTTCCCAACAAACTTTAGTCCCATATTTATTATACCAAGAGATTCCAAAATTTCATTTATGTCCATCAAATTAAAATTTGAATGGAAAGACAATTTTGTAGGAAGATTTGAATAGACTCTATATGGGAACATTAAACCACTTAATTTATTAAATTATTAAATTGACATAATTGCATTCAATTAATTTATAAAAAACTTTTTTTCCTGTATAATATTTAAGTGGTTAGTGGCATATCTCTATTATTTTTTAGAAATGAATGAATAAAAAAGGAAAAAAAGATAAATATGCGTGACCTTTTTTATTTTTTATTTTTTTTGTAAAAAAACAAAATTAACCGAATATTTCATGAATATGATATCTATCTAGTGTGATGTATGGAATATATGACAAAAGTGGAGTGTTAGAGTATTTCTATTGCTCGGTCATGTCATATAGGTTCGAGTCGGACATTCAATTACTTCGATTTGAATTATTCGGAGGATGTCTTGCTATTATATCAAAAAGATGGACAATCAAACCTATTTCTCGATTCAATAGAAGTCCAAAGAGATGAATAGAGTCCCAAATAACAAGAGATATGTAAAAAATAGGTCTGATTACGTCTATTCCTAATCCTTAATGGAATGTAGGACGTAGGGATCCATATGTTAACATAGTATCTATTTAAATACGCTCGGATGACCCATTCTCATAATTAGAATGTATATAACCTAGTCTTATTCCGGTCTGGCCCGATATGGAATGAACTTATAATCATGGAATCGACTCGATCATCAGATTATAGATTATAAGTTCATAACCCTAGTCCATTCCCATTTTGGACGGAAGAGATCTACTAATTCTTTCATTCTTTAGTGGTAGTCCAAATAGGATGCAAATATACATGCTCATTGTTCAACACCTAAAGGTCCATTGACAACGTTTCATTTTCTTGTTTTTTGCTCCAATTTTCTTAAGAAATCTAAGCACTTTGCAACCATGTTTCTTGTTTCTTATTTTTATGAACATTCTAAAAATTTTATAGAAAGTTTAGAAACAACCAAAACAAGTTTCTTATTATTTCTTGTTTCTATTTTCAATTTTATTCAAAATAGATGTTGGGGTCATACAATTCGTTTGTATTTATTAAAAAATGAAGAAATTGAAACAAAAAATAAAAACTTTACTAAATGGACCTTAAATGTTTGTTCAACAAGAAATTTCAATAAGAGAAAACTCGAATTTATGAACTTTTATTTGTATCTATGTATGTGAGTGTTACGATCTCTAATGTATAATTCTCTGATTAATTCTCTCAAATGTAAACTTTAATTCAAAAGCTCGTGAGCTTGTTCTTGAATTAATGGTTGATGCCTTCAACTTCTTACTTTTGAAGGATTTTTGAAGTCTTCGGCTTTGAGCTTGTTGAAGACTTTGACTTGTTGATAAAGTTCTGTGGCTTGTAGCTTGACCAAGGTTTTGTGAAGTCTTCAGCTTTGAGTTTATTGAAGAATCTTTGAAGTCTTTGGCTTTGCGATCGTGAAGTTCTTCGGCTTTGCAGCTTGTGAAGTGCTTCGGCTTTGCAGCTGGTGTGGGCTTTGCAGCTTGTTGAAGTTCATCGGCTTCGCAGTTTGTGAAGTTTTTGGCTTTTTAGTTTGTTGAAGTTCTTCGGCTTTGCAGTTTGTGAAGTTCTTCGGCTGTGCAGATTGTGAAGTGCTTCGGCCTTGTAGTTTGTGAAGTTCTTCGGCTTTGCAGCTTGTTGAAGTTCTTCGGCCAATTTGATGAAGACTTTGCAGTTTGACGAACTCTCCAAGTAAGGTTGATTGGGGAGAGAATATTCAATGTTGTTGAAGTCTCGAACTCTTCAGGTCTCGAATTCTTCAAGTCTTGTTGGCTTTGGATGTTTCGATTGACTCTGGATATGATTGTAGATGATTCTGAGTGCTCTGGCCTCATTGGTAAGTGCTACAAGATCTTGTACATTGGAACCCATGGTTATGGAACCGAATCTCGTATTTTAATGCATGTATTTAATTTATAGTCTTGGTGGGTCTTTTATGGGTCATGGACTTAATGGACCATTAGTTTGGGCCAGTGTGAGTTTTATCAAATTAGTTGATTTCATCGGACGACATAAGAGAGACACGTGATGCAATTTAATTCGTCGATTTAAAAATGAATTTAGGACACGTGTAAATTTGTCATTGGTCCTATATGTAATTTTAATTTTGTGATGTGGCCTTTAGTAATTAGCCGAAATTTCTCATTCAACAATGTTATTTTTTATTTTTTCCTATTACAATGGATTTAATGCACGCATGGTTCAAAAGGGGAATATAGGCTTTTTCTTTTTCTTCTCAATTTTCAATTTTGAAAATGATGTTTGCAAAGAAATCTAAAGTATATATTGAAAAAAGTACACAAGTCAGTCATGAGGAAGAATATCATTGGGTTCTTTGCATCAAGGCCAAAATTAACTTCAAATAATATATATATATATATGCATTTTTAATTAATTTGATTTAAACATCATTCCCATAAAAGGCCATTATTTTCTTAGTTCTAACACAATTCTTTCATCTCTCTAATTGAGTTTGTTTTATTTTTTGTTTTATGTCAATTCATCTTTGTATTTGAGGACCATAACCTTTCAGTTGTGTCACGTCTCATCTTTCTTTTTTCTCAAATATCATAAAGCTTTTTTTAAAAAAAAAATCTAGGAATTCATTGTATACTTTTAAAGTGATATATATTTATTGTTCCTTACTTGATTAAGAAATAAAAAGTAAAACAATGCTCTCATCAAGTAAAACTCCGGTTCAACTTTTTTTACCAATTATATCTTGAAATTCCAGATAAGGACGGATATTAAATATTAGTTGATATGCCGTCCATCGATAATTTCATGTTTCTACGGATTCGATGAGAAGTAAATCGATATGTCTATAATATTGGAGAAAAGCTGATAAAATATTAATATCAATAAAATATCACTAGACATACTATTAATATTAATTATTTTTAACTTATTTAAAAATTGCGAAATGATTATTGGTTAATTAAAAATAATTTTCACAATTTTTTTTATTTTTATAACATTTTAAGATGACATTGATATATTATCGATATTTTCATCGAACATCGATATTTAAAACTTTTAGGTAGGAGAGGGTAATGGTTAAAAAAATAATACATACTCTTTCTTGAATTTTTTTTTTATTTTTTAATGTGGACCATATTTTGAACTTTTTATTTAAGCATGTGTTGCATAATGTTGTATAAACATCCAAAACTTCCACGTTATAATAAAAATAATAATGTTGTATAAACGTCCAAAACTTCCATGTTATAATAAAAATAATATATATTAAATTAAAAAATATATATATACGTGGAATGGGAAAGTTTTTTTTTCTTTAAAAAGTTGGAAGTATGAGATTTATCAACACTTTTCCTAACTAATCCAATGAGATAAAAAAGTCATGTCACACAT